TGAGGTTCGGCCCATTATCTGCGTGTCTTCATAGTCTTCTGAGATACTGGAGGCTTTAGACGAGCCACATGTTGCTGATATCATTTTTTTGAAGTTATCTTTGTGTTACCCACTCGCTAACACCAAGATGTCTAGGGGGCTAGAGGCGAGATCCAGAAATGTTTTGCGGCGGTTTCCGGGTGAAGACTTAACGTAAGATATTATCTGATCAACATCATCTGCTTTCAGCCTTGAGGAAGTTCTTTTTCTCTTTTTGGGGAGACAGTTCTGCGGCGCAGTGAATAGCTAACTTGTCCCCGAGAAATGCCTAGTTGCGTGGCAATCTGTGTCTGGTTTTTGCCAGATATATGAAGCCCACAAATCATAACATTTCTTTTAATTTATATTTGTTCATATCTTATTGTTGGAATCACCGGGGTTCCAAATACAGCACTGTTGATGACTGTATTGCAATTGGTTGTTCCTCTTCTATCTAAGCTATGAAAGTAGTTATACTAAGTATTTATAATTACGTAAACATTACAGCATATGATGAAAGACTCCAAACTCCAACATGTACCAACACTGACAACTCTTCAAATTCTTATTAAAATTTAGCTTCATTTCTGGTCAACCCACTCCGTGACTCTTATATATATTTTTTTAGAGTCAATGAGATCTTTTAGTGCTGAACAAGCGTTCGATTTCGTCATTGCGTCTGCAGAGTTGGTGCTACCTTTAATCCATTTTATTTCTGCAATCTCGTGTCATTTGTACAATTGCCTGAGAGACATAATGTCAATCATTAGTCTTTTTTTTCGGGTTGTGCTTAGTCTTACTAGACAGTCGAAGAGGAATTTTGAGTCAGTGCAAATAATCAGAGGGATTGGTCTATTGAGGATTTTACTGAGGGTTGTTTTGATAGCGGAGCTATTATCAAATCCTAGCGCCATCCTGTAGAGTTCAGAGGCAAGAACACTACGGGTTATATGTTTGCATTTGACCGAGGACCAGTGAATGATATTAGCATCATTATTGTCGTCTGCTAGTACTATCACATAGCCAATTTGAGATGTCAGGTCTGCATTGTTAGAAAAAGACGCATTGGTGAAAACAATTATCTTCAAAGTATTTATATCAAGTTTGACAAATTTTATTCCTCGTTCAGAATTGTCAATTTGCCATTTTAATCTCTTATTGAGGAGTCTTGCATCTTCTTCCTTTGGATTAACAACCTGGGCAGCAAAAGATAGATCGAAAGAGGCTTATGGTTGACATATACTAGCGATGTATGCGCCGCGCGCACGTTGAGCAATATATTGATCTTTCGGAGTTACATCTTTTCGTACTTTCCCCTTAGTACCTGACAGCTCAGCTTTGAAAGTTTCGACGAGCTTGTTTTAGAATTATTGAGCCTTTGTCTAGTGTTACCATTCCCCCATTAAATTTAAGAGGCAATAATGGCGTGAGCTTTTCCCGATCCTGAGCTAAGAATTTGGCATTTTTGAGTGCTTGATATTCTTTGAATGCAAAACTGTTATTGGCTACAAACATCGTTTCATCTGTTTGCAGGCCCACTATTCCAAGACATGATCCATTACTGTGGAGTAAGCAAGGATCATAGGTTGAAGGTGTCACAGGCTCATACCTGGTTATCATTAGGCTGCTGCCTAACAAATAAGGCTTGAACTCTTCCAACCATATTAAACATCATACATGTCATGAACCCCTCCACAACTCATTAGACCCAAGTATAGGCCTTGGCCCAGTTCATGCAAATCTATTCTTAAATGACAAATTTAGATTGCAGACAGGACGACTCGAACACCAGTCGTGAGTCATCTAAGCCACATGCATCATAACTATTTTAATAACTAAAATTGCTAACATTAAAATGAAGCTGAATTAAAATAGACGGAGATGCTGGTGTTTGTCGGAGGACAGATCATGATTTATTTTGAGAATGATATGAAATGAGGGAACGAGATCATAGTCTTGTAAATAAATAGGAGGCTTTCAGTCATGTCTCTGCTTGTTACTTTAAGATTTTCATTCGTATCTAGCTCTGAGTTCAGTTTGAATAAAATGCCACTTTAAGACCGTCACAGAAGGGGAGATATTGAGTTTGTCCACATGATGCTGATGATATGTGTTAAACCAATAGATACCAGCTTCTGGTATCCCATAGAGAGGCTTAAGCACTTGCCATACAGTACCAGGAGGTAACTTGATTTCAGCAGAAGGACGAACGTAAAATCTGCGATTTAGATTGGTGGTTGACTGAAAATATGCCTGGGAAATATCACATAGATGCAAACCGACGTCATTCCTTTGCATGATAGCAGCGAGAGCGAGGACGAGCCTCTGGCTGGAACGTTGTATTGTAGGTGACTAGGTCAGAATCGTATGTTTGCCATCATTGTTGTAGGCCTGAACAACTAATCAAGATTTTTCAAAGGCTTTTTCAGTTACCAGATGTTTAATTTCATCCACAAATCTAGTGTTGAATTTTCTGGTTTCAGGCAGGATATTATTGACATGAACGACTTTGAAAGTTCCTTTTTCTGATAGTCCGTTAATTTCTCTTCGCCTTGATTCTTCAAATGATGGTGTAGGGATTTCTGTAATATCTGGAGGAAGGGTTAGTGAATCCAGAACGTTGCTTTTGAATATAAGGTCCGGATAATTGGATGAGATGTTTTGATCTGCTTCAGATAGCTTTGTTCTTATGCGAGATTTGATGGAGGATCGGAGTTGTATACGAGGTTCGATAGAGAGTGGAGGTGTTGCAGGATGTGGCAAAATTGGAGAGGGAGATGGAGGAGTTTCTGGATTTTGTTAGGTCGGATCAGGTAAGTTTGGTTCTTCTGGAGCGTCGTAAATTAGGAATGGTTTGACGACTGTACTGCGGAAATTAGTAGGACCACTGGGGAGATGTACGGAGCAAGTTTCGTTGTTGATGTTAAGAAGTGGAAAGGGGACAGTCCACCTGCCGTTCTTGTTAGCGTTGCCTTCTCGCCAGACAAGGACATCTGAGTTGAGTGGTAGGTCGTGAATTGCCACTGTCAATGGACCATTGCGAGAGCTTAGAGCTTCTTTTATTTGTCGTTTAGTGCGAAGCTTGTCGATTTCTTCCGTAGCTTCACGTATAGCCATTGCTCGCTGTGTTACGGAAGAGGCCGGGGGATCTAGCTCGGTCATTTTTGGAAAGGTCCCGTACACTAAAAGAGTAGGAACAAGACCATCCGGTCCAGCTGTATCATTGACTGCCTTGATTGCCATTTGAAGTAGCATATTTTTGCTTAGTTTTGTGCCTGACATATGATGAGTTATCTTTTTATATGCCTGTTGCAAAACATGGTGGTAACGTTCGACCATTCAGATTGACCAATGGGCCTCGACTGGCACAGCTTTTGTCCTTATTGCCATGGTGGCTGCACTTTGGACAAAGTTTTTACTGACAAGATTCTTTCCGGCATTGGTAATCACATAATCTGGAGGTCCTTGTTGTGCTCAGCTAAGGTAGCCCTGGCAGGTAGCGCATGGAGGGTGAGTGTGTCATCAAGGTACCTCAGGCATGGACAACTCACATGACATGTTTGGCGCATTTGTTCAGGGAAGGCACACTGCATGAGTAAGCATGATGGGCATATGATTTGCTGGTAAGCGAGTTCATGGGGTATAAAAGGGGAGTATTTCCCACTGTAAATTAGAATATACATCCATAGAGTCATCTACAATCCACTCTCAATAAAACATCATATCTTAGCCGTCAAACGCAAGTGTACGTTCCACATTTCATATACCAAGTAAAACAGTCCTTGATATGTATTTATCCATGCATAGCATAGCGTATCCCATATGTGTTCGGAGGTCATGTTACGAAGCCATTGAGCAGCTTGATACCTGGTGCTTTTGTCAACAATATGCAGGATTGAATTATTATTGATATACATGATATCAATAAGAATTGCATGGTTGAAGTTTATCTCATCACGAAGTTTGAATTTAAAATGGCCGGGAGATTTTCCAAACCTTTGACACTGTTTGCAGAAGCGAGTTAATTTTCGGATTTCTTCATAGTTAACATCATTGTGACCAGATCGCTCTAGCAGTTGTTGGAGGCGATGGGCAGCTGGATGCCCAAAGCGGCGATGGAGTCGGCGGAGCTCAATATATATAAGGAAGCAATCTTGGCCAAGATCTTAAGTTGTTGAAGGTAGGCATGTTTTCCAGAGGAGAAACAGGCGTCCAAATCGACGAGTCACAGGGAATCTACGAGTTGAGGAGACGAGTACGTTGTTAATATTATCCAGATAGACGCCATGAAGGTCCATGTCGGCGATGCTGAGTAGAAAGGGTGTGTCAGCATTAAGAACGTGGAATTCAACCGAGCCAAAGGGAGCTTCAATAACCACGGAGCCAATTGAAGTTGTGTTCCCTATGCCAAATTGGATTTTCGCAGCTCCGGCAGTTGTAGTGTTGAGTTGCATGTTGGTGATATTCTGAAAGGCTAAGAATTGGCCGTGTCCGACAGTGGATTTCTTGGCAGCACCAGTATCAATCATGATGCCGAAAAATTCATAATCACTTTATCAGATTATGGGATTTCTGGTTTTAAAGTTGCTATAGAACTGGTTAAGGCGTAGAGGGTGTTGTGATGTGATTATTGCATTTACTCTATATTTATCTCTGCCAAGTGCCAGGGATACAACACATCTATGCGAGTACTGCACAGCCCTACATGGCTATCATTACGATCAACTATTGAGGCGCAGCTCTATACAATGGCATAGAGTAATGTGGGATAGTATTGCATGGAATTAAGATTGTAGTACTTCATCCATAGACAGTGATGTACCGTATAGCGGGTGCCAAATATGTGTATATAAGTCCTATCTACTACTGTGATATGTAGAATAATATAACCAAGCTATTCATCATATTGTCAAGCTCTGATAATCCTTATCCACCCTCTGCACTATCCCTAGAATATTCAACATCTCATACCTACTCATACCTTAATTACAACAGAGGGAGGCTTCATTGTTGAGTTCCGTGAGGTTTTTCTTTCCGTTGATAGGCCCGAACCTGGTGAAATAAACTTCGTTGAATTCCTCGGAGTCAGGGAGGTTGAGGTCGGACATGAGTTGGCTTAAATGAATTGATTCGGAGATGGCTGATTCTAGCTGACCACATTCAGCAACAAATTGGGTGTATCTTTTGTTATACTTATTCTTTTGGTTTTGAAGGTGCTGAAAGGCTTCTTCACGCTCAGTTTTGAGTGTTTGTTGGACCAACAGCCTTCTTTGTCGCAGACAGTGCATGATTTGGAGGAGCCTGGTGATTATTGTCTGGGGGGATATTTGGATTTAGAAGGGTAGCAATTGTTGTTGTGGTATCTGGTGTTGCTGCGACCCCGTGAGTTTTCACGAGGCGTGATCCCTTGAGGATCATTCCCTTGGAATTGACGGTCTGTGTAGAAGACACCTGTTGAGGATTTAGTGTGACAGAAACCAAGTTGGTTGTGAATAATTCGATTTATTAAACTACATGAGGAGAAAAGAGAACTCTAGCTACAACTAACAGGTATTTATAAGAATTGGTCCCCTTCGTCAATCTCGAGACTGATGACTTATCCTTAGGCACAATACTTGCTACCCAGCCACGCATTGCCAGGTGTTACTTAGTTGTAGTAACGCTTCGACCTCCTGACCAGTAGTGCCGCCTAGTTGTAAATATTCCCAACAATCTGCTTAGGTATCCACCTAAGCTCAAATAACAGTCAAACCGTAACATTACCCCCTCATTTACCCTCTTACTCTCTCCTTCCTTGACGCTGGTCCGTTATTGGTCTTGCCAGGCTCGTTGGCTGGTTCGGAGGTCAAGGGTCGGAACAGGACGGAGTCGGGACGGATGTAGTCGGGACAGGATATGATCGGAACGGGACGGAGGCGGAGCGGGATAGAGTCGGGGTATAAGGTAAAGCTTAAAATAATCAAGTCGATCTAAAGTCTAGAATAATTACAAGACAAAAAGCTACAGAATAAATCCAGTCCTAGACCTTCCTTAAGTACTCAAGAGCGGCTACTACAATCAGGGGTATGGTAGTCTACTGTCATAGGCTAGAGCCTAAGGCAGCCAAGGCTTGGGCTTGGGTTACTGATCTGAGCTGTTACCAATCAGGTGACTGTTTAGCCGCTCTATTTTGGGTATAGTCTGGTAACAGCATAGACCACCTTTCAATGTATATAATGAAGACTTTTCCTCTTCCATCTTCTTTCTTTAGTTTAAGATCTTCTATACACAGCACACAGTACAATTCAAATACAATTCTACTTCTAGCCCTTACATCTACAGCTATAACACAGCAACTGATTGCTTATGTTGATTAGTAACTGTTGCTATCATAACATTGTAACCATCGCAATGCATTGAATATGTTACTAGGGAAGTTCCTGACTTGATTGACCAGACTAAGCGCAGCATCTCAGCATTAGCCCATGGCACAATGGTAGTGACAAGCAGGCCGTTTTCCTTGTGGGAAAGCCGGTCTGTGACAGGTCTCTGCTAAGCCCCACTTCTTCTCCCAAACATCGAGTGCTGCAGCATCTTGTAGATTTATGAGCGATGTCCACTCTGGTAGCGCCATCCCAGTCCACTTGACTAAGGCCTGTCTCTCTCCCTTCTTTGTCCTACATCTTAGAACTTCATCAATCTGATATTCTTCTTTGCCATCAATCTCAATTATTGGACCTGGATTTTCATCTTCTAATTTTTGCGACCACAACGGATTTTAATCTACTGGTAAGAGTAAATCTACATGAAACCGGTTATGTATCTTCCCAGGGATATCGAGTTGCACTACTTCTGGCAAAATGAGTTTAGTGACTGTGTACTTTGCATGTTGCCATCCCAACTTCTTAGAAGGTTGATCTTCTAATCTAATGTTTCGCAGTAGTAGCCAAACTCTATCACCGACTTCATACCTTGGCGCTGGTTGCCTCTTTCTATTGTGAAGTCCTTGTAGCGTTCTTGAATAGCAGTCATTGCGGATTGCATGAAAATTGTAACATTTTGTAATCTTTCAACAAAATTTTCAACCCTTTCTTTTCCTGTAGATACTGAAATTTTTGACTGTTTGGTAATAATTTGAATTGGGTTGACATGATAACCGTGTGTTGCGAAAAATGGACTTATGCCGACTAAAGACACAATATCTCTATTATTAATTGCAAGCTGAGCCGCAGCAAGACAATCGGACCAGTCGTACTGAGTATAAGAAACATACGCTCTCAAGTAAGTCTGGACTTCCTGATTCATTCTTTCCGTTGCTCCATTGGTTTGAGGGTGGTAGGCTGTGCTCAGCCTCTGTTCAATTCCAACCGTGTCGCAAAGTCTTCTCCAGAATTTACTTGTCCAATTAGTCCCTCTATTGCTAGCTAAAGCCTTTGGAAATCCGTGATAGCGCCAGTGAAATTCTTTAAATCGCTTGGCACAAGATTCTACATCCATCTTATCCATAGACTCCAGTGTCACTGAATTCAACAATCTATCGGTAATTACCATGATGTTTGTTGCACCATTTGATTTGGGAAGGTCCACCATAAAGTCAATAGAAAGCTCTTGATGGAATCTTTCAGGATCCGGTAACGGTTTAAGAAGCCCTTGTTTCTGGTGTTGCCAGATTGATGACTTCCCACATACATGACAGTTTTTACAGAACCGTTTGACTGATTTACTTATTCCAGGCCAAAAATATTCACTAGCGACCTGGGCAAGCATTGCATCTCTCCCTGGATGACCTGAGACAGCTGAGTCATGGATATTCTGGATTAGCGCAGTTGTTAGAGGCTATATAAAGGTACCAATATCTGTCCTTGGTAGCAAACTACACTGAAACTATTGTCAAGTTCACAAGCGGCGATCGTTGCCTTAATTGGACTAGGCTCGTTCGAACCTTCTATTTTAAATTTGAGGTCCTTGGGCCACGCACAATCTCCACTTCGAACCGCATTTACGAGCTGAATATAACTTTCATTGTTATTTAGCACCTGGTTCCAAAGTTCCTGTAAATCCTCGTTGACGAATATTTCATGGCCTTCTGCAACATTAGTGCCATTAATACACAACTTTTACGTATGAATTGGTGTTAAGACCTGGCGCTCGCGGCTTAAGAGTCGTGGGTCGCCTGTTGTAGGTCTATCTTGATCCCTTCTCGAGAGTGCATCTGGCCGTTCCTTATCTACCCCTTTCCTGTACACGAGTTTATACCTGAATCGGGATAGAAATTCTGCCCATCGAGTCTGCCGCTCTGTCAGCCTTCTCGTTGTGAGGAAGTACTTCAAATTCATATTGTCACTTAGGATAGTGAAAGCGTGTGCTAGGCCCCGTAGCTCTGCGTCCCATTCTTTCATACTTGCAACAATGGCTAGGAGTTCCTTGTCATGAATTTCATAGTTCATTTCTGCCCCAGTCAGCTTCCGAGAGTTGTATGCCACAGGTTTCCATCGGCCAATTTCTTGCTTCTGTAACAAGCATCCACAAAGGGCATAACCGGAGCAATCTGCTTCCAACATAGTTTTGCGGTCGAGATCCCATTGGGCCAGAGCAGGCTCTACAACAAACTTTTCTGTGAGAAATTCAAATGCATCATTTTGTTCAGAGCCCCACTTCCAAGGTGTACCCTTGCCTGTCAAAGAAGTTAGAGGTGCACAGATTCTTGAAAATCCCTTGATAAAGCCACAATAAAAATTGGTGAACCCTAAAAATCCTCTTAGTCCTTTTGTCATTGTGGGTGCCTTCCATTCCGATATTGCCTGGACTTTTGCAGGATCCATCTTGACTGCAGAATTCTTACCATCAGAAGATATGATGAAGCCCAAGTATTTAGTCTCTTTAACACTTAACTCGCACTTGTCAATATCCAATCCTAGTCCTGCCTTCTGAAGTTTTTAAGAACCAATCGCACGTGCCTTTCGTGTTCCTCTTTGTCTCTGTTGGTGAATACAAGTACGTCATCTACGTAAGCCGAGCAAAAATCGTCGAAGTACTCACATAAAGCTTCGTTAATATATCTCTGGAAGGATGCCGGAGCTCCATTATATCCAAACGGCATGACAAGCCACTCGAATAATCCAAATCGTGTTCGAAAAGCTGTTTTCCATTTGTCACCTTCCATGATACGCAACTTGTGAAACGCAGATCGCACGTCCAGCTTCGTGAACCATGTTGGAAATGGAGACACGGAGTGTTGTGGACGTATGGGCCCTCCCTTTTGTCTAGGTTCCCGACACAATCTCGTGTGTATTTAAGAGGTTGGAGTACGTAATATGGTAGCGCTTCAGGCTACCTATTGGACATATGAGCGGCTGTATGGCGTGGGCGCAAGGAGATTATTGGGGATTTTCTATGCCTAGATGGTGCCATACTTGTTTATGCTGTGGCTTAGGCTCTCTGTCGCTTACACTTGTACTTGTAGCGCACATCTCCCACACTTTTAGCTGTAATCCGAACATGACACTCTTTTAGTCAACTTCTACTTTCGTTCCATGAATATTGCGCCCATTACATTGCGCAATATTTCAAATATAACTTTGGCTTTAACTGTATCCGCAATTTTTACGTCGAATTTTGCAGCTTGGACAGGTATTTCAGGATGCTTAGCAGGAAGCAATTGAAAATTAGCTATAATGTATCCTATCTTTCCACATTGCAAGCATAAGCCATCTATTTTGCGCCCATTCAACTTAACATGTGATACCCACTTCGCACGGACTTTATCAACACCAATCGTCCTTGTATTGCTGTCCATATCCTTAGTGTGTAAGCTGACTTTGGATGAAAGGTGGTGCGTAATTTCTTGTGGGACCTCCCCTAGTAATCTACCCCCAGCAACGCCTCGTGTTCCGTCGTCGAAGTAGCCAGTCTGACCTAGCAGGTTTTCCCTTGTCATTTCTATACCAACCTCGTCAATTTCAGAACCCAGGATCGACAGGTGATCAATTAATTCTCGAAGTGTTCTACGGTGCAAACTGCCAATCATGTAATTTCTCGTCGTCTTGTTCAGCAAGTTTAGCAACAAGTTGATCTTGAATTTCTCATTCCCTGTCACAGGCTCATACCTGGTTATCATTAGGCTGCTGCCTAACAAATAAGGCTTGAACTCTTCCAACCATATTAAACATCATACATGTCATGAACCCCTCCACAACTCATTAGACCCAAGTATAGGCCTTGGCCCAGTTCATGCAAATCTATTCTTAAATGACAAATTTAGATTGCAGACAGGACGACTCGAACACCAGTCGTGAGTCATCTAAGCCACATGCATCATAACTATTTTAATAACTAAAATTGCTAACATTAAAATGAAGCTGAATTAAAATAGACGGAGATGCTGGTGTTTGTCGGAGGACAGATCATGATCTATTTTGAGAATGGTATGAAATGAGGGAACGAGATCATAGTCTTGTAAATAAATAGGAGGCTTTCAGTCATGTCTCTGCTTGTTACTTTAAGATTTTCATTCGTATCTAGCTCTGAGTTCAGTTTGAATAAAATGCCACTTTAAGACCATCACATTCCCTTTCGAACTAGGACTTTGTGAGAGTAACTGCTGGATGCGCGGTAGATATGACAATAGGTTCTCGTCCCGGAATTGTCGGCATGTATGAAGTAGTGCGGCCGCCAATTGTTCTTCGTTTCTGTTGCGGTGGGTATCATTGTTATGCTCAGCTATGTAGTATGGTAGATCTAGTAGCTGGTGCATAGGTAGTTATTATGGCAGCATGGCATCATGGCACATGAAGGGGATCCAGTCTCTACATAACGACATTACAAGTAGGAATGTGTGCAGTATGAGAGATGGGTTGTTGATATAGGATAAATGGCATGGCTGCTCAGTTGGTTGCACACTTTGGTGAGCTGCATACTGGTAACGTGATTGGTCTACAGGGAAACAAGCTAGGGGATAAGGGACGAGCTTCCCTCAATCTGTAACATAACAATTATCATAGTCACTTCACTTCTGCACATTAATGAAGACATCTCTCCACATACTGTCTTAGCTGTTCCAGCGCAAGTGTACATTCCCATTTCATATACCAAGTAAAACAATCATTCATAGCCTGTAACAGCCCTAGCGCATCCGATTCCATGCCATTTGCAAGCATACTCTGAAACTGACCTGTGATCATATTTTTCGCTGTTCCAGTTACTGCATGACTAAATAGTTGCACTGAAAAGTCAAACAGTTGAAGAATATTCCGCTCCTCTACATCACGCCTGTACATGTACCTAAGAATTCCATGTGTCATTGCCCACTTAGTTCTATCCTTATAATCGTATGCTTCTAGCCATTTTAGTGGTTCCTCTTCTATAAAACATTCCCTGCTTTCTGATTAGCCTCTCACATTAGTTCTTGACGGTTGCAGTGGAGTTTTTTTCTCATTCTCCGATTGTTCCTGCATCGTTTTCATCATTTTGTTTATCTGAGATTGTAGAATCCCAAGGTCTCTTCTGTGTTCCATTCCTCTTAATCTCATTTTTTCGACCAGTTGCTGCATTTCTGATTGTATTTCTCCATGTGGCATAGATTCATGATTCGATAAACCAGTTGCCATAGAGTCCGTTCCGACGTTAAAATTGTTCATATTTGAACCCATTGTTGATTCTTCGAATCCCTGTGCGTTGAAACCAATAGTTAAAGATGTCCTAAGTCACAGTTATCTAAGGCTGCGATATACTTAATGACGGGCAAAGAATGTGATTTATATAGTTTAAATTGTGACAGAAACCAAGTTGGTTGTGAATAAATCAATATGTTAAACCATATGAGGAGAAAAGAGAACTCTAGCTACGACTAACAGGTATTTATAAGAATCGGTCCCCTTCGTCAATCTCGAGACTGATGACTTATCCTTAGGCACAATACTTGCTACCCAGCCACGCACTGCCAGGTGTTACCTAGTTGTAGTAACGCTTCGACCTCCTGACTAGTAGTGCCGCCTAGTTGTAAATATTCCCAACAATCTGCTTAGGTATCCACCTAAGCTCAAATAACGGTCAAACCGTAACATTTAGGATGAATTTCGTCTTAAAATGTGATAGATGATTGTAGAAAATTGAGAAATCCGGAAAAAGTTGGGGATGGGGTGAGGCAGGCATGTTGGCAAGCAGATACATTTTTTCATGCAGCAATCATTTTGAATTGTATAAATTTATCCGTTTGAAACTCGGGGTCTAGACTGTTTTGTAGGGTTTGTAAAGATCGAGCCGACATTTCCATACAGGTGATGGTGTCATGCTGGGGATTCTGTTGAATTAAATTTCGTAGAGTGAGCGAGTTCCATTTGTTCAAGATGCGCTGATGGTACTCGTCACCTTCAAAGTTTATTTCCATCATTTGATATAGGCCCTCAAAGGTAGGGGGTAAACTATTAAGGTTATGAGTTAAATAGTAACATAGTTACTTGGAATGTGTCACAATGTTTGTTCAGATGGTTTGATACTTGGTAATGTGATTGCTGGCAGGTGTCCGATACTTTTCCAATACTGTTCATGGGACAGAACACAGACTACTTACATACTCTAATATATCCCATGTCATTTTCTACGTTCTCTATCCTGACTTACTGCCAACTGCGTGCCTGGGTAAAACTCTGCAGCTCATGAGTCCATCTCTCATGAGAGGCATCCGCTGTTCCGGTGGCTGGCGCGCGCGGTCCGAGTACGTGTCGCTGCAATGCCTCAATCACTTATGTGTAATATCCCAGCTGAGCAATCCTGAACCTAGCTGTTCAGGAATGACAGCAATCCAGTTCATGGTTCGCGCCTGTGGTTTGTATACACACCACAGCGTCGCTCCAATTGTTCCCATACAATGTTTCGGTTCCGCAGTCCTCAGTCCATTACTCAGGAGCAGAAGCAGTTGTATAGTTCCGATAGTGCGCTAGGTCTGCATGTACCTCTGAGCGCTATTCCGTAATTGTCCGGCAATACCTAACCGCATATGGCTAGCGCACGTGGTCAGTAGACCCTTCACGTCGCTACCCCAATCGTTGCCTTGCAATGAATCAACCCGGCGCTCCCAAGTCCGAGACTCAGGAGCGGCAGCAGTTGTATCCATGGTCAACGCACGACGTGCATATGCACCTGTTGGCGCAGAGCCGGTCATTGACGAGCGATATCACAACATAAACAGCTAAGATCTGAGTAGTAGAAGTCGGCTGCTCTTCCTTTGAGCATTGTTGAGAACGCTTTAGTATAATACTCCTGCTTTATTCCATTTCGGTCACAGAGCTTGTAGAAGATTGAAACTTTGTTATCTAAACTATCATCCATACCTGCGTACTTAATTTCATCAGAGTGGGATCTTGACAGGTTTTGAAGTTGGGGGCTAATGTCATTGATATCACTGTATTGATGAAAAGAAGTGGCTTTGTTGTTAGTGGGAATTGTGTCTGGTCTCGGAGGTTGAGTGTCAAACTCGAGGGCACCAGGGGTTGTGTTTTATAGATAACTTAGAAGTGCGAGTGATATCTGACAAGATTTGTCATAGACTAAGGTATTAATTCGGGATTCTAGCTTTCACTGAGGACAAGGGACAAGAGAAACTAGGACAAGAGACAAGGTCAATGGAAGACGGAAAACAAGACGTGGCCCTCTACATCGGCTCTACCCAACTCATATATACATCATAGTAACCAGAGCAACTAAGGCTTCAAGGGGTGCGCCTGCTGCTAGTCTATTACTTCATTTGTAACCCATAGCAACCATTGTAACCCGGTAAACGCTCTAAGATGAGAGAATATTCAGATGTAGTGTAGAGAAAGAATATGAGGGTGCTGCTCTATCCTCAGTTCCTGACATTGAGGCATGTTTGTGAATGAATTCCGGACAGGGTTTTGTTGAGGGTAGTTGCTATTAGGAGGAGCGAAAGCTGAAGTTGTCGTGTTGCTGATGCTAGCCAATGGCGGAGGTGGGATATTTATGATGTTCTTTTGATGGCTATAGTATGCAATTTTGTAGAGATAAGGATTGTATTTAATTTTGCATGATATGTTTGGCAATGTAAATGAAAATGCTGAATCTTCTTGTATGGCGTTCAGTATTTGGTCTGCTGTCTATTGTTCAAAATCATATTTCAGGGCGTTTGCCAAGTCGTTAAACACTTCGTCCGATTTTGATTTCGGCATGTAGATACCACCTTGACAAAGGAGCTTTCTTAACTTTTGGGCAAGACGGAGTCCGCAATATTCGAAGTGAGAAGATTGCTAGCCATCGAAGTCGTAATGGAATAGGCTGTAGAGATCGTCATCAAACGCGTCCTCGTCGGTGTAAAACTGAAATTTTGTACTGGCATAGTGTCTAAGGTCTTTGGAGGAAGCCAGGCTCAAATTGAATTTCAGACATGATGGGTCTTCAGTGTTGATAAGGGCAGATCCAGTGGATTTATTGTCAGACATCTTGAGTATTTTGGATGCTTAGAGCAGGTCGATGTCGCTTTGTGAACTTAGGTAGATTGATTGATCATAGATGAAGTACAGAGTGCGATACCTTGAACTTCAACTCTTCGAATGTATACCAACTAAGGCAAGAATCTTTCTTCCTAATCTGTCACCATGAAAGAGGTGCAATACCTAGTTCACTATTGATTGGTCTGAATAATTCCGGTCTCCTAATTTGTGATATCACTAATTAGTGTTGGAATCACCAGGGGTCCAAATACAGCACTGTTGATGACTGTATTGCAATTGGTTGTTCCTCTTCTATCTAAGCTATGAAAGTAGTTATACTAAGTATTTCTAATTACGTAAACATTACATCATATGATGAAAGACTCCAAACTTCAACATGTACTGACACTAATATATCTACTTACTAAAATGTTTTGATCTCTGGATGTGACAGAAACCGAGTTGGTGATGAATTTATTGATTTATTAAACTATATGAAGAGAAAAGAAATCTCTAGCTACTACTAACAGGTACTTATAACGTTTGGTCCGCTTCGTGAATCTGCTGACTGATAACTTCCCCCTAGGCCTAATACTTGCTACTGAGCCAAGTATTATCAGGAGCCATTACGCTATGATGTTGCTTCGACCTCCTGGCTAGAAGTGCCATTTCATCTCTATTTGCCCATATTTCCTCTTTCAGTCTTATTGTAATTATTCCTAATTAAACGCTTAGGTTTCCTCCTAAGCTAAAACAACGGTCAAACTGTAACACTGGATAATCGTTTGATTCGAGGTGTTGAAAGTGGGGTTTAAGATGGTGTAAGGATTCTCCTTCCCATCCTATCTTTAGTTTATAATTTTACCCTTCTCGTGATGTTGCTATGACAAAAGAACAGTTCTTGGCACTGGTTATTATTTTGGCACTAGTTTAGGGCCTAGGTTATGATGAGCTAGTGGGAGGAAAGCAAGTATATGTATGATGGCTTGGTCTGTAGCTATAGAGTTCTTCACCCTTAGTCTTCTGTCACAACCACCACCTTCGGATCACCTCTGGTCACCTATAGTCACCTCTAGTTACCTTTAGCACCTTTAATCACCACTAGTATTTGCTCGTACCTTTAGACTCTTTAGACACTTATTTTACCCATTTTTAAACTTTAAGTTCTCCAAATTATCTCCAGTAGATCTTTAGTCATCCCTCGCAATCCGTCCGACCTCTTCTCGCCCTTCTATTCCGCCTCAGGTCAAATGCCTACGCTCCAATTTGACACTCTGTGTTACAAAAATATACATCAAAGCCCTCAGTATGGCTCGCAAGTAAATTGAAAGCGTACTACATGTTTTGTATTAGTCTGCTCCAACCCAATAGTTTGTGTACCCTCCATTATCCTTTATCACCACTAAACATCTTTCGTCCATATTAACATCACTTAACAGATGTTTCTTCTAGGCAATGCATCTACTGCTGCCTATTTTATTGAGGGCATTTGAAAGTTAATGCTCATTACATCCCCAGTGGCTGAAGGGTCTCATTGCTAGTTCCAAATAGCACATCTGTCGATTTTCAGGAGATTCCCGGACAAAAGCCTCAAGCTCACCAACTTGTTCCGCGCTTAATTTAGGTGATGTTAAAGCCTTAGTCCTTATATTGTGTAATGATCACTCTAAGGAGCTCTAATATAAAACATGGAAGGTAGACTTGTCTATGAAATCAACTTGTTGGAGGTTGTTAGAGTATAGAGAAGACTTCGGAGTAAGAATTGCCTGAGAGCGGAGAAGAAGTTCAGTTTGCTTAATTGGCTAATAGACTACAGGTATTATGATATATACAGTGGAATTACAAGAAATAGAGGTTACCCAGAGCCGGCTCGACTGCAGAAATAAGTGGGACCCCGGACCAGAAAATAATTATCCACTGACTGAGAATACTGGGTCACGCAATAGAAATACGAACAAACCAATGACTGGATTTGTTCGGGAAGAATGGGATTCAAGCAGACTCTAACGTTGAGTCCGATTGGATTAGAAGTGTGGGATCCTGCCCGAACTCAGAAATATAGTTCAGGCAAGATGCATGTAACCACACTGGTCGATAGAAAGAAAAGCAGGAAACTGTATTTCCAACAGAGGTCTATAAAATAATTATCCATGAAAACAGATCCAACACTCGAGATTTACATCTTGAGTGCGGGTTCGTGCACGCTAACAAAACAACACAATAACCACGTGATAAACAAGCTAATTGTACAGGGTATCTTGCTCTCCGGTTCTCCTAAATCCTGGCTAATGATGACAACTCAGACCCATAATAAGGGTCATGAGGATCCTGGAATTGCAATGCACTAGACTTATTTCTCAACAGGTGAGCATTTTTTGCGAGGCTTAGGATTCTCAGTCTCTCGAACACACGCAAATTGTACTTGCCTTCTTGTGAAGCCCAGTTTGTCAGGTATATTTTGTAATGTCAAGCCAAGTCTTCTTAATGTTCTTATTTCAATACATTGATCGCGAGTAAGATGCCTGCGAACTTTAGTTTCTGAAGCAAACTTTTTGAGAGACATTGTTTGCTAGAATAGAGGATGATTTGATTTGAATTCGTTTCGTATCAGGCTTACGCCCTACACCCAATAGGCGTGATACTTTCACGGATCCGTAAATAGAAATTTAATACTAATATTAATTCGTGATAAGATGAAGGGGTAGTTAATCAAAACCATCAATTTAATAATAGCTTCCCCTATACAATTAGTCGTGTAAAAAGTCATGTAAGGATATGCAAGAGAGTCATGAAGAGAAGGACAAGAACACAGCCATTAATGCAAAGATATTGGCAAGAATTGATTACGATTAATTCCGGTTGGCAAAGGCTTCTACTCTTGTATATAATAGTTCGGCGTGAGAGAGATTTACTCCTCACGCAACGTCCTCTTTATCTGCCCTTTACAATACATTTGTTTACCCATCTCTTCTTCGGGAGGACCATATATCCATTGCCCAGCTCTTCATCAGCAAGACCCACGTGTTAAATCTACTGCAACAAGTTGCCCATTCATCTCTTCCTAGAGAAGACCTGTCATCCCTTTGACCCATTTATTATCTCCACTTACCACCTAGATCTTCACTAGGCTATACAACGCACCTCATGGAACACTGTCAAACCCTCATCCTTGAGAACAGGTTAGTGATAAACTTGATACCACCAATTGCTACACTCACCCGTAGATCACTCCTAAAAGAGACAAGCTACGGCGCTATGCGGAAGTATGTGGGATTGGTTAATTATCATGTAGAGAATCCTTAACATAACACAATAAGATACCATTTGCATCCTGTAACATTTATTGCCATAATCACCCAAGTATGGTCTAAGCCCCCTGAAAAGTCACAACTATTCAATTAAAGATACAAAGTGTATAGGACCATATACATCACCACCCTTCAATAGTATTTGCCTCTCGTAAGATTTAGTTACTCTTAAGAGCTGGAGCAATCTTTCCCAACCCTTTTCTGCCAGCATCTCCCGTACTCTCGGTGGTGGTTTGTATTATGAAATGAGGTTAACTAGGGGTTTTATACTGACTTTGCTACTTGTATGTAAATGGAGTATGGTCTATAAATACTGCGCTTGTAGATGATTGATTGTAAATACTTGTTTTGCTTAGTATATGAAATGGGGAACGTACACTTGCGTTTGACAGTTAAGATATGATGTTTTATTGAGAGTGAATTGTGGATGACTCTATGGATATACGATCTAATTTACAGAGGGAAATACTCCCCTTATATACCCCATGGACTCGCTTACCAGCGAATCATATGCCCATCATGCTTACTCATGCAAGGTGCCTTGCCTGAACAAATGCGCCAAACATGTCATGTGAGTTGTCCATGCCTGAAGTACCTTGATGACACACTCACCCTCCATGCGCTACCTGCCAGGGCTACCTTAGCTGAGCACAACATTACTAGTAAATGATAATGATTATGATATTTTTATTGTGACCAGGTACTGACCCAGCACCCAGGGGGCATGGCACGGGTAGTCCAGATCTATATAAGACTCTTCGCTACCTACTTGATTGGTTCATAGGAGCCAGAAATACAGAAACAAAACAAATAAAAAGAAAAAACACCATTTCTGAGGTGCTAGCGCCCTGCACTACACCTCCATCCTCGTGCCACACTGAGCGGCCCTAAGAAGCAATACAGCTGACATTCAAGTTCCCTGACTATGATTCAATTTTGCTGTAACATTTTGTTACAGTTAGAAAGCGCCAGAATATCTGCCATCCTTCTTGCCCTATCATATCCCTTGTCGTAGGTCGTGGTTCCTTCGTTTCCGTCCTCCATTTCTGGATGGTCGGGCGACACTCTGCAAAATGCCATGGCCGTTTCTCTCGTCCGCATTTGCATCGCATTTCTTCATTCGGATGTTGAAATCGTCTGTGATATCTAGCGAAATCACCATGCCCAGTCCTTGCCGCAATGAGGCGGTGATATGCCCATCGAGGTAAAGCTAGCTCCGGAGGGCGTTTTCTTTGCATCAGTAAGTCCAGATCTTCATACCTGTCCGATCTATTTTTATGCCGCCAATCTTCCGCGAGTTTCTATACTCGTATTGTGACTTGGCGTTTAAGTGCT